TATAAACCGGGTAAGGAAAACAATGTAGCTGACGCACTTTCTCGTATAAAACTGGACGATGAAGGTAAATGAACTTAAATGCGCTGTGTTGACTTCAAAAATTTTAGATTCTAGAGATACGGTTATTACTGAACTGAAAGCTGATCCTGATCCTGAATTTGGAAATATCTATGCTTATTTGAAAGACCCCGAAAGCTTTGAGCACACAGATATCGATGCGATAAGAAATAGAGCAAAAAACTATGAAATAATAGATAATTTATTATTCTATACGAAAACAACAAACGAAAATCTTGAGTATAAGCCAGTCATCCCAGCCTCGCTTCGATTAAGCATTTTGAAGGAGTTGCACGAAAAAAAAACAGCGGGCCACCTCGGGGTCAGAAAGACTTTAAAAAGGGTACGCGAGGCGGTATATTTCCCGCAATTATACAAAATAGTAACGGCGTATGTCAGGTCCTGCAATCAATGTCAGTTAATAAATGATATTAATTACAGCCCGGCCGGCCGGGTACTTAAATAGCATTCGCGCTACATTTCCGAATGAAATTTTAGGCATAGATCTCCTTGGTCCCTTCCCCCAGAGCGAGTTAAATAAAAATCGTTTTCTTTTAGTAATAGTAGATCATTTTTCAAAATGGATAGAAATTGTTCCACTTAAACGCGCGTCAGCCAAAACAGTCGCAGATGCATTCTTACACAGATACATTTTAAAATACGGTGCACCGATAAAAGTCATTAGCGATAACGGAAAACAATTCATTAGTCAAATATTTGAAAACATATGCAATGGACTTGGCATATACGCCATATCAAAATGGTTCCGTATAGACCACAGGCTAACATAGCAGAAAGAGTTAATAAAAACATTGTAAAAATAATTCGCAGTTACGTTAGCACACATCACAAGCGCTGGGATGGCTACATAAATGAATTAGCTTATGCTTTAAGAACGGCACATCATGATACTACGGGAAAAACTCCAGCAGAATTATTTTTAGGCAGAAAGTTAATTACGCCTTTAGATAAATTATTCTTTGTGCAACAAAGAGAGCAGGAATTTAGACAAAAGGACGTGCAAAAACTAATTGATCAGGCGCTTAAAACCTCGGATACGGCAAGAAATAGGCAGAAAATTTATTATGATAGAAAAACGCCGTGAAGCAGATTTTAAAGTTGGGGATAAAGTATTGAAACGGAAATTTTCTTTATCAAGTGCCCCAGACAATTTTATGGCAAAGCTAGCTCCAAAGTTTGAAGGCCCCTATGTAATTCAGGAAATCAAAGGAGTAGTGTTATATCTTAAAAACGAGAGAGGGGAAATCTGTAAAGCAAGTCCCGACCAGGTGAAAAAATACTATAATCCAAATGATTTTGAAATCCTTAAAAGTTTCTTGCAGGACTCAAGTCTAAACGAAATAGAAGGGCCAGAGACTGCAACAACTATTCCACCACCCAAGAAACGGAGAGAGAACTGAAGAGAGACCTAGCACTTCTACAACCCGGACGTCGGTATCAAAAAGAAAAATGATTTCAAACTCCGGCGTTTAAGAAAAACAAAAGTACAGATGAACCGGGTAAAGAAACCGTGGTAAAGAAAAACACCACCTACAAAGGATGGCAGGAGAAATTACACATCAAGGAGAACGCGCACACGGCCACAGAGTCAGGTGCCAGCAAGGCCGCCGTTCCGGAAACTGAAACGCCAACAGGAAGCACAGAAAATACGAGGAACAGAAGAAATTCAAGAAGGACTCCAGACCGGAGGACGTCAAGACCAGCCGTCCCAGGCAGAAACGCAAAAGCCAACAACCAGACGATTACTCCGTCAAGAGGCCAGCATGTAGAGGACGCAAAAGAAAGATCAACGGGGACGACACTCGGAGATCAACAAGGAGAAGATTGACATCCATGAAACCTCTAACTTGGGATCAATTTTGCCAAAAACGGATGACGGAGTTTCAAGCATCGAAAACTCAAAGATAAGTTAAAACCTTCTATAAATATTTTTTTCTCTTTTGTTCCGAAATGTTATGCATAAGTACGAAGTTCTATGTTTTGACGAAAGTCAATATGTCTCGGTTGAGACTTAGTTTTGTTTTACTTTATTTAGCTAAGGCAAAAGTATTATTTTCTTTAAGTGTAAAAGCTAAAAACAAGCATTTTCTGTTGGTCGAAAGACTAATTCTGTTATGTTAAAGCCAAAATTTGGCCGGAAGATAAAAATAACTTCGTATTCTTGTTGTACTAATAAGAATTTTAGTTTCAGTGCCGCCAGCTTGGCGAAGAATGAGTAAAGTAAAAATTTTTCTCTTATTCATTTTATGGTAAATTGTAAAAATCATATGTATTAAACTTTTGTAAATGTATGTAAATACTTGAAGGTTATGTAAAAGTAGAATTTACTCTAGAAGCATAAAATTGTAGATGCTAAAAGTGAATGCTTAAAAGCAATGAAGTCAAAATTTAAGTATTAAACTGTAAAGTCATGCTTTAGAGCGAAAGCCTGCATGTTTAAAGATGAATGAGGGGGAAGTTAGAATGAATGTGTTTTGTAGGGTTCTCCACCTACATTTGAATTTTTAAGAATATTAAAGTAGCTCATTGAGTTGTAGAATGTCGAGTAAGGTGTGTCTATTTGGTCGTTGAATTCTAACAAATCATGGTGGTTAGGGGAAGTGTTGTAAGACTAAAACACGAATATTCCCGTTTGACACCACACACGGGTGGAGAGCCAGGGTAAAGTTAAATTAATGCTTGAAAAATTGAATGAATGTGAAGTAAGCAATAACTAAGAAAAACGAATCGTTTAAAAACAAAAATTTATTGTGTCAAGAAAGTGTAAATTATAATGTATGTAGAAAGATACTGATACTTATTCCTTCCAGATGCTGGAAGGAAAGACCAAGATTGATTGATGAAGTCCAGGAAAAGTTGCTGTAAGAAGAAAGCTTTGTAACGAGTAACAGAATTTTAATTTGTTACATAAGATTTTTTTGTGTAAACGAGGCTTTCGCCAGTTAGTTCAGAATTAGATAAACTTACAACAGGTCGTTTGTAGGACCTGCTTCCAAGTTTTCCAAATTCTGGCAGCGGCAAATGTAGGGTTTATATTTATTTTAACTAACATTTATTTTAAGTTTAAACTATCTTTCCTGTCAAGCCTTACTTTCCCCTGGAACTGCCAATGCCAGAATATGTAAATTTGAGTAGAACGCGCAAGGATTCAAATTATCAGCGGAAGTATTATGATTTAAATAGAAGGAAACAAGTTCGGTGAGAGAGAGTTATTCTTACTTAGCGAGCGCGGAGGTAGTTATAGAGAATTTGAAAAACCCCGCGTTGCGGCCTATGTGCTTGGCGGGAAGTAGTTGCAATTGTTCCAGTGAGCTTCAAGTCTGCTGAATTAGCAGCGGTATTGTAAAACGCGGTGAGTTAGTTATTTAGAGAGCCTCGTAGTTAGAATATTGTCTTTAATTTCTTTTCAGGTTTTATTTTTATTTGACTGCCGAGTTGGCACCGTTTGTAAGCGTCAAGAGAACGCAATTGTAAATTAGTACGTTGAATAAAAAGGGACTTAAACCCTTTATAAGACTCTGTACTTTATACAAGCTTTCACAGTCACCTCTTGGTTGCGTGCTAGTTAGAGGCGCGCAACGTTATAAACTTGCCTCGTCGTTATTGTAGATAGCAAGTTTTTTTAACATTTTTAAAAATTATTCAGGAAGTCAATTTAATCTTAGCTGCCATCTTAAAACTATTATTACTAGGAAAAGCAGGGTACTTTTCCATTATGTTCTTACCACGCATTGCGTTTTGGCAGTACTTTTGTAATAATACCTGTGAGTGTGTTAAATTATTTTTGTTTACAGACACACATATACGTGCATATGAAAACACACTTTTCTGAATAGAAAAACACAAACCATTCGTTTTGGACAGACATCCTGATCCTATAAATAATCTGGAATTATAAAAATCATTAAATTAATATTGTACAAATTTATATTGAAAACTAAGCAAATCGTATTTTTGATCTTAAATATCTACTGATGCGACACTTCAAATTTCATTTTCCCATCTACTTCCATATACACGCGTTCCAAATTTTTATACAAAAATTAAACATGTTGCTACATTAAGCGAAGTAAAGGGAGGAAAATGAGCCCCCCCCGGTACTGATAGACAGACAAAGAACATATCTGTCTTGTTTTGCACCCTCCAAGTTGTTCTGCCTGCAGAGCGAAAAATCAAGCTTAGTTGCGAAGGAAATGTATATAGCGAGGGTAATTTCGCATTTCAGAGAAAAAAAATCGTCGTATGTTTTTGTACAAATTAACCCTCCAGTACTCCAAAAAAGTGCATATGATATGAAGCAGATTTTAACAATGAAAACAGAATTTTACATGTTGCCTATCATTAAAACAATTTTTTTTTCAAAACTTAGTTATCATATTTAATTATTATACCCAAAATTAGTTATTATATTTAATCAGTCACTTACGCTGATTATCTAAACGAAAACAAAAATCATTTAATGATTAAGAATTCTAATAAGGTTTTAACTAATAAAGAATATTTGGCCAATACAATTTTAAGGCATGAAAATATAATTTGATACTGGGAAAATTATTTTTTCTGTGATAACTAACTCAGATACTATTCACAAATATACAGTATTATATCTGCTCTAAGCTTAAAACAGCCGTACGAAAAGCAACTGTGTATGAATTTCTTTATGTTTATGGTATACATATTGGAAATCGCATTAACAGAATACAAAACTGTTATTTAGGACAAATTTAATTTGAATTATGTAGTTCTAAAGAATTAATTTCGCTTATCGTTATTTCGCTATTTGCTGCCATTATTGAATTTTGGAGCTTACTGAAAATACCTCGAGCGTTATGACGAAGTAAACGTGCAACAGAAAGCGAATGAAGAAAGCATTTGTCTGCAGTAGTTTTTCAAAGTAAAATTATAATGCATAACTGTTCTCCTTAGCGAAATAAATTCGGCCATTCAAGCGAAAGATATTTTTTCAATTAATTATGGAAAACTATATGTATCGATTAAAGCATTAAAAAAAATAAAAACTCAACTACGTTAAAAGAACTCAGTTATAAGAGTCTTGAGCTAGTATTTTGCAACAAGATGGGAGTTTCCCAGTGGACTTGTTTTGCAGAAGATATCAGATTGCATTAAGGTAAGTTGAGAAAATACCTTTCAGCTTGATATTATACAAGGTGAGCACAAAAATATTCTTCAATTTCGAAAGAATATAACTTTATTATTGGAAAAACTATCTTGGCCAATTTTTGCCATAGTTCCCTAAATTCATAAAATTTTGGGGACATTGATTTGAATCACAGAACACCCAATGCAACTCCAGCCATTCATGAAGAAGATTCGGTGCAACAGAACTGAGAGAAGTTTTGATGCGTTCTTGAAGATCATTCTTGTGGATAGTGAAAGTATTTACACAAGGGTCCTTCACAAATCTGCACGGAAAAATGTCGCAGACAATCACATGATTGGATCCACAGTTTCCTTTGAGATAAAATGTCGGCCATAATGTCCATTTCTTTGGTCACAAATATAATCTGTATCGCTAAATGTCTTATTCTACTTCAAAATGGATTTCTGTAAGCAGATCAATAACTAAATTTTATTTGAACATGCACGGCACACTAATAGCACTGCTTGTTTTCAGAAATTCTAATATGCACTGGCTGCTTTACTGTGGGGAGAACACCATTTACTATATCGCTGCCTTCTAGCAATGGGAGTTGTGTTTAATGATTCTCAACAAGAAAAGAAAACTTTTGTGTTCATTTAGCTCTAGGTATCACATTTACTAATTTAATCTAGTAATCTTTCATTTTATGACACCTTAAAATCAAGGAATGTTTTTATGCTCACCCTGTATTACTTTATTTTATTTTATGCTGTTACGTAAACTTCTTATCTGTGGTTTTTCATTCACTTTAATAATTTATAAAATATGATAGGCTTTTATGATGAATAAAAATATTACTTTTGAGTTGAAAAGTTAGTTATCTAATTGTCGAGTACAAGTGATATATTTATGCGCTTACGTTCAGCCAATGAGTGGATAAGGCTACTAAATATTTGGTAGTTTAATTCATCGAACGGGCTGAAGCATGATTGTGTACGTAGTTTTCTCCCCCCTCCCATGTGTAAATATGAATTTCGAGCTGCTTCCTTTTAGTCCTACAAGTCTTGCACGAAGGCGTTCTATCACTATCAAGCGACAGATCCTACGTGCTTTGTCTTAACACAATAATCAATTAAGTATCTGTCCATATTAGCAAGAGATCTAAAATATCCAGTTTAGTACTCTATCAAACTCGAAAAGAATGAAAAAAGGAACTTGAAATGACAAACTGCACCGCAGCTCGATGCCATCTTAATGCATTATTTGAGGGCTACTTGTGCATAGGAGGCCATACTATTATTTTGGGGAGAACTAATTTAAGTTAGAATTTCAGAAAGAATAAAAACCTGAAGGTCCATGACTCTATTAAGAAGGCCGTGCGAACTGCTAATGTTCAATGGTCTTATCATCTCGACCCCTAATTATCACTTTTCCAAGATGATGATACTAATGGGAAAGCATCTAATATTTGAGAGTTTTAACTATTTGTCTTTGAAGTTTATTAGGCAAAGATAAATTCTTTCAGTTTATCTCTGTTTAAATAGCTATCACCTTACTTATGTTCCATATTTTTTGTTTTTGTCCTTGTCTCTTTCATTCATTAACGCATAGAATCTTGTAAAGGCAATTTTGTAATAAATTTTCCAGAAAATACAATATTAAAATTATTCATGTAATGTTATGACTTCAGAAGTTGCTTAGGTTTAGTATCCGCTTATTATTTCGCATCTTTATATTTATTTATTCTCCTTTTTCAATTCATATTTAATTATCATAAAAATTATACATGAAATCAGCATATCATCTAACAGAAATTTTCTATTTTAGGTAGACCTCTCTTTTAAGAAGGAATGAGATTAAAACGTTCAAATACAAATAATAACCCAAAGCGGGATAGCAGTAGTTCAAATATAAGGCGCCAAAGTTCACAGCAGAGAGTAAGTGAAAATGCCTCACAACCACAGACTTCACAGCTACCTGAGTCTCAGTTGAATTCAGAAATGCAAGTAAGTTCATAATTCTTCCGATGCATTCCATCGAGTTAACTCTAAAATAGCTATGAACTGGTGGTTCGATCCGGGTTCAGATCGCACTGAATGGACTTAGCTGTGTAAGAAGTTTCGTATTTTTCCATATATATCCTAAGGCATTCTCCCCTCCCCTTACAAAGAAAGCCCTCATGCGCTTGGTCGTAATCTAAATATTCCTAATCTATAACTTTTGCCACAAAGGATGCAATCTATGACTCTAGAATTCAACTACAGGTGTAAAAGACACAAGTTAGTCTGGATTTTAAAAACAGGCAGAATTGAACCTTATTTTAACGTTAATTTAAGAATGAAAGTTCTTGTCTTGTAAATTTTTAGTATGTGTTAAGACATCAAAGTGTTTTTTTTTTTTTTTTGTCATTACTGAAAGAATTTTTTTGAAGCAAACTGGATTTTTGAAGACACTCTAACTGTACATTTGAGAACATTGTCTAAAATAACCGTCGACGGTAAAGTTATTTTATGATGACATTAAGTAACGCAAGCGTTGTACTTGCTATTATGTTGTTCCTAAATTACTTTTCTTCTCACACGAATTTTAAAACCATTTTTTCACAGGATAATGCTGCGCAGTCGTATCCCGATCAGCGTAATTCAGAGCAAATACATTCTCCTCAAGTTCTGGAACAGTCGTATTCATTAGAAAGCAATGTAGCTCCTTCTAAGTCGGCCGCAAGAGTAGTACATTCTGCACCTGTTTCAGAGCAGTCAAATCCAGTACAGAGCAACCCAGGTCAGTATTATGGAGAAATAGCTGTAAGTACCTCTTATTTATATTTTGAATTGTCCTGCTCACCTCAGAGTTATCCTTATTATTCAGGACAGCAGCAGTCAACAGCACGAGATCACCAGTCACAGCAATTTTCAGAGCATTCATCTAATCAAGGCCAAAGTTTTCGTCGAGATTTTAGAGATCCTTTTCCTCCACCATATTATCAAACTGTGCAACCACCATTTTATTATCAAGTGCCACCTCAGTATGCGTTTAGAGGTAGGATCTTTAAAGACAATATACATGAATAGTTTAGAAATTCATGGCTTTACAAAAATAAGATTGAATAAAATTTCATTTATGCGAACATTAATGTAATGGATTTATCATCATGCTTTGCAAATTTATTGACAAATTAACGATCCTAAAATTATAGAAAAGTCATGTTTTATTTTTCGTATAATTCATGTTGAAGAATAATAGAATAATTATTTACGTATCTATAGAAGGTATTAACACATTCATTTCCGTTTTAAGCTGTGTAACTAATTTGACGTTACAGCAACAAGCATGTGAAGTGAGCAAGGCATGCTTAAAACTAATTATGTATTTTATGCACATAATCAAATGATTATATACTTACTTCATATAATAATCAATTCATACAAAATATTCTTTTAGAATTTTATGTACAACTAAAAACCTCTTTTCTCCCCTACTGCTTTTCTATGCAGTTGAGTTATTTAAAAGGTATGGCTTATTCTTTCGTAATGTCTTAGACTGGGAGGAAAGAATTTAATAAAAATTGTTTTAAAAACCCCTGAGTGACACGACCGCCTATATTCGGTCATGAGGGTTTTTGTCACTAACTATTTATTCAATCTGACTAATAAATGCTGTTTAAAAGCAGGATTTCATAACGATATTAAAAAACGCCAGGCCGGTCAGAATATTAAACTCTGCTGATTTTCGTTTTCAATGCAAATGGCTTCGAATTGAATTAAAAAATGAACAGAAGATATTTTAAACGTATTCTTCTAATTTTAAATTATTTTTTATTTCTTTTTTTTTATTAACTGTACCCTTTCCAAGCAAAGATAATGACTTTGATTTCCAATGTCTGCGTAGATGTCTCATAGGCAGTGAGACTATAAATCGTCTTTATTATCACAGGGTTATAATCACCAGATCTTTCAAAGAGTTGTATCAGTCGTTTTGAAAATGTCTGACTTTGGTAAGGGATACTGGGAACAATATTTAATTTGGAACTCCATTTCTCAGATTATGCCATTTCTGCAGCTTCAAACTTATAGTCAAGGCAATATAAATGAAAATCTCTGAATGTCTAAAGTGATATGTCTAAATCTCTGAATGTCTAAATGATCTAAGTTAACTGCGATAGTCTCTGACTTCACGATTTCAAGTTTGAATAAGCATCAAAATTTTGCTGAGTGTTTTGAAATAAATACTTAAAGATATTTAAAAATATCTTTATTTTTGAGCTTATGCATCAAAGATTTTATTATAAATTTTCCGAAGCCAGAATAAAAGAAGTGGAACCATTAATTAATTAATTTTTAATTTTAATTTAGTTTTTTTTATTTATTAGCCCAAACGGTGTTAGCCCAGAAGTTTTGCCACATTTTGTCGACTAAAATTGAATATAGGTGAAATATTGGATGGAACTTGAGCTTTTACACGACTATTTGATTAGAAAGACGAAACCCATTAAGAACTGCGTGCCATTGTTGCTGACATAATGAGAGGGAATTAGTTTATTTTTCAATCGAAATCTTTTATGTGTGTTCCATATCGCATCAGACTGAAAAATATATGGCTATGAATTTTACTTTTTGCATCGTTATTAGAGGAGGATTACAGCGGTATCGTTCTGTCTATTGTTTATACACATTACTCCCAATCTAAGTTAACTGGCAATGGGTACTCCACTAGTTAAGTATAAAGATATATGAAACAAATCGATCCATCAATTATTTGATCATAAGGGCTATATTACTCCATATTATTCCTGCTGCTTTTAAATATCGTCTTCATTCATTTCCAGAGTCACTGTTTTCCCCAAAGGCATAATTTTATCATCATTTGGCGGCTGCTGTTTATGAGCAGAGCCTTAAAAAATTAAAGTCGAATTTAAGAAGTTAACATACCATGGTTTTTGAAGAGTCTCTTTATGATTGCATGCCAGGCTTTATCGATGTTACGCCTGCTCAAGACGTGAAAATGATTTTTCCTAAACCTCGGAGATGATAACCTCGAAGTATCACTGAAATAAAATAAAGCTTTCTAAAGTACGAAATCACTTGTTGATCTCTGGCATGGAGTAGTGTAGTGATGTTCGGAAGAAAACAACTAACGATAATGAACTCGAATTTATCCAATAAATCATCCTCAAGGCTTAAAGAGTAAACAAGTATCTATAATCAGAATTATTCACAACTTTGAATGATAGATTCCTTTCTAAACGGCATTTCTACACTGCATTAGATTGTTAATTCATTCAACGAAAAGGATATGGGGAATTCAGGCTTTGTTATTACACTTTCACATAACATATAACTGACTGTTTTGCACCTTTCATTCCTTAATGATCTGAAACATCTTAACATCGGACATTGCATTGTCTTGTGCTGTACTGTAGGTTTTGTTTGGCATCTTTTCCCATAAAGTCAAAATCTCACAAAGTTTTCGCGTTAAAATCTTGCAGCGGTAGGTAAGTGCAGGAAATCATGGTCTTCTGGAATTCGCTGACGGACGTCTCAGCTGTCTTCATGTTGGAATGTATATTCTAGCTGTGTCACACAAATCACTACTGATGTCAGTTCCCTTTTCAGGCGTCAAACCATTCCCTGCTCTCCTCTTTCTTTGTATTCTTTCGATGTGCTTGGCAGTTTTCTTACGATGCTAGTGTACAAAGCATCAGCATCGACGCAGATAAAATGTCTTGGTCGCAGTATAATCTACTAGTTGCTTCTCGTTAATCGTATGAGAAGCGTTTTTCCTATCTTTCGGAGCACAAGTTTATTGCTTTGATACGCTCATGGCTCCTCTTTTGCTGCGTCTCTACCGTTATTCTTTATTCAATTACCATAATTGCATCAGTCTTTTTACTGCCTTCTTTATTGACTTTTTTTTTTTTCATAGGAGTCATTATCGCAGTACAGTTGTTAAAACACAACCATTAAAGCACTAAGTAAAAACAAATGATTCACGTATGCACATGTGATCACAAAGCTGTAGTAAGCAGCATATGTTAGGAGGGTTAATTATCTGAGGCAAGCATGCTGCCAGATACCAGCATGGGAGACAATTATTCACGGTTGCCCCGCGAGAGAGAAAAACCATCAGATCAGTTGTGATAATGTGACGCTCGGCAAACAAAAGCGACCACGTATTACTTGGACTGCAAGATCTTGCTTGTTTGTCAAGTTAAAGGATATAAATTATTAAAACAAACACTCCGCAGACTCACTTGCACTTCAAGGTTCTATTGTAAATATATTCAAAACGTAAGCAACGTTTCTGAATAGGGTTGTATTTCCTCAAAAAATCAACTGGAAGACATGAAATTCATCTTGCAGAGGCAAAATATACTACTTAAAGGATGAGGAAAGTATGACAGCAGAAAAATGAATAGGACGCATACAGTATGGGGCGAATAGAAAAAGACTTTTAAAAATAGAATGGCGTTTTTACAAAAACTGTCTGGCCAAGAAGCAGAATAACAAACCAAAGAACCTTAGTAAGGGATATGACCTTTCCTAACTGCAAAGTTTGCGTTGCATAATATGTTCAACGGATTATCTAACAGTTCTTGACGTAAGAATTTCAATTCTTCAAGAAGCATCTGTTTCAGTTGGTGTTCTCCGGAGGATAACATCATGCCACCAGGCATTTCCCTAAAAATTCCCACAGATGTTCAGTGGGATTTAAATCAGAGAATAACACTGACTAATACATTCTGTTTATATTTTCACTTTCCAGGAGCTCCTCAACAGCATGTGTCCTATGTGGCCGGGGACTGTTATCCATAAAACCATAAAAAGTAAGTCGGACCAACGACAACCTGGAAATAATGCACGTTGGGAGAATAACATCATCGCAGTAACGATCTTGGATAAGTAAAGCTCTATAAAAAATATGGAACTCCATCTGTCCGTTCATCATAATGTCTTCCCATACAAACATCATCATAATGTCTTCCCATACAAACAGGCCAGGATCGCCTCAATGGTCTCTTTCTCTGCTGTTAGTGTAATGAAAGCTGGCATCAAAAATCGTTTGTCATACTGAAATGACTCTAACTGGTGAACAGGCTGTGACTCCATTGATAAGGTGTCCATTCTTTGTGCTCTCTATACCACTGTAAATAAGGCCGTGTATGGGCTGCAGTCATTGGTATGCAGCATTCAGGACGGCGAGCGAATAGACCACCTTTATGAAGCTGTCTGGCCACAGTAAACCGGGACACATCCGGTTGCCGTGCGCAACTGCCTCTGTCTGGTTTCGATCTTTTTTCGCTTACGGGGCGATATAGCGATATATCTGTTATCAGTCATCGTTGCTTTCCTTTGCTGAGCACGACCAACCTTTCTTGCAGCCGTAATTGTCATATGGAATGCTTTCCGAGCTTGAGAAACAACACTTTTATCAATTCCAAACTCTTGGACGACAGAAGTCAAACTACGCCTCTCCTCAAGCTTACAGGTCATTTTGTAACGTGTAAAGGTGTCCTGGGAAAAAAAAAAAAAAAAAAAAAAAAAAAAAAAAAAAAAAAAAAAAACATTTTTTTTTTTTTTTTTTTTTGAAATTTTCTTATACCCATACTCACTCATCTCACTTTCACTTGCAAAAGTAAACCTGGAAATGCGCCTTCCTTTCTTCTTTTTAAGCTTGCCCTGCGCATGCTGACTCTTAGCGTTTTGCGTGCCCTAACGTATTCTCTGATGTAATGGGACTGATATTTGCCATATACATAACGTTTCTGCTGAGTTGGCTTTTTACTGTACATATCTCTTGGGGGCTCAGAAAATGGGGCTCAAAAGCCCTTTTCAACATTTTCATGGTTGTATGTTGAAAAACGAAGTCTTTACTTTCGTTCCTTAGTGATATTCTTTTCAAATGTAAATTTAAGGAATAGACTATCTTAATATATTCTTTAGTGATAGTATAAGCATATGAGACATGTAGAAGTTTCAAAAACGCATTTGAAGGGATAAAAATGCATCGTTCCATATGATCCCATCTAGTTAATAAGGAGTCATATGGGACAATGAGATCGTATGGGATGATTGATACATTTATATCTGTATTAATGCCCCATATGATCCTATACTTGCAGTGTTCAGTCATGTACATCGATATTGTCTTGAGCAAAAGTATAAACACAATAAAGCTAATGCATATTAATACTCAATATTACATTTTGTGTTCCATTTAAATGCCAAATAAAAAATTATTACATGGAAAAATTTTCAAATACTTAAATTTAAATTGTTGAATTAGATGATGATTAAACAAATTTGTGTTGAGGATATAATATACGATTTGCAAACAAATAATAAAAACTATATTATTCGCAACAAAAATGGCCGCATGTTAAGCAAATTGTACTAAGTACATATATCGGAATTTTAAACGTTTTTAAAAACTTTGTTAAATAAACTATATACGACTACGTTTTCTTCTCTTGTATGATTAGTTATATTTATTCATGTAATTTTCAAACCCTTCAGATAGTCCAAAACCTTTTGTGCGTGTTCTCGTTTGAACTCACATCTAGCCTGAAGCACTATATAATTGCTATGAAAAATAGTTTGCAAAATAACTCTTCTATAATTAAAACCTTGTTCTTGAATTTTTAATATATCAGCTTCTGTGATATAAAAAGCTGACTATTTAAAATCCGTCTTTCACAGTGGTTTATCCTACGGCACCTCCTACTCAATCCTCAAGGCAAGACGCAAGGGCTGAAGAAAGACCTGGTGGACCACGTGCAGATTGGATTGGCTTCACAGATAAGAAAATTCGAGCTCAGTTTGTGAGGAAAGTACGAATGTTTTAATATATGCATATATGCAAAAGTTTTGTGCCATTTTTATTTAGAGAATATGTCGCTTATCTTGTAGCCCTTAGTAAATGTTCTTCAGTTTTTGAACTATATTTAAAAAGTTTTAATTTCAGTTTGAAAATGTGCTGAAAAATTCAAACTAAATTAAAAGCACAAATATTAGAACCGAATATTTATGTTTTGCATTTTCTATGCGTACTCTATACGACGTTGATATTCTCCCATTTTCTATGCGTACTCTATACGACGTTGATATTCTCCAGCCATAATACGGATTTAAAAATAATATGGAGTATGTAAATATATCTATAATTCATAGGGATTCACCCAAATTTTATTTCTAAGCATTGCTTAGCTTTTGAAAAAAATCAATTCATTCAGAACATTATGAGTAGTAGTACAAACAGAAACATGGAATGGCAACAAATCGTCATATTCTACAGGTTTGCTTTATTTAATTATAGCAAATACCTCGTGGGCTATCTGCCTAAGGAGAGGGATGCCTTTGTGGAGAGTTGTCTAACAGAAACCGACACTTTACACATGGGCAAAACTACGAAGATGCCCTTGTCTCGTTCGCTTGGATTCGATCCCCGGTTTGAGCTACCAGTGTTCAGAGACTTTACTGCTCAGCTGCTAGGGGACTATAGTCTGCAGATAAGTCCCATGAGGAATTAAGCACGTTTGATTTATTTACTCCCTTATCTTGTCGGCATACTGGAGCAAACAGAGACTGGTTTCCTTAGTGGCAAACGGAGCACATGCCGAGGGTCTGTATTTTCAAGGTTTCCATAACTTCATATAATACTTATAGCATACATAGTTTTAGTTCTTTTTCTTAATTCCAAGTTTTAAATATCTGAAAAATAATTAAGATATTTGTGCTACTCGAAAAGAAAATTTTTACCTTCCTGCGTATCAATTTATTGCGGTTCGGCAAAGTATAAAATATTTATCTTTCAAACTTAACAAACTCAACTATTTAAATGCAATGTGTTGTCACTGCCTGAAATAAAATACGTTTATCTTCCAAGTCTCAGTGTGTTGCCATTCGGAATATCAGCTACACTTGTAAGGTTCCTTTACGCTAATTAACCAGATATTTTATGCTTTGGATCTCTAATATCACTTCTGCCTTCCGTTTTCTCTTCAGAAAGCAAATTAGACGGCAAATTCCGGCCGAAAGCGTCGAAAGTTGAATATCCGAAGAAACGGGCTCTCACTGCGTCAATTGAGAAAGTACAAAGAAGTAAACCTCCAAATGGGGAAATCGTACTCTGAACGCGTGACTTAAACGATTTCCAGATGGATGAAAATTTTAAGAAGCTGATCAGCAAATTTCTTGAATTTGCCGAAAAATGTAAAAAGTAGCAGACACCCCAGGAAAAAATGTTGCTAGCGCTGGGGATTGTAGAGGAGATGATCAAACTGGACATATAATTTTGTTCAGCATGTTGCTTTATGATTAACTATAACTTTTTCTTTTAGTTCTAGTGTGTTCTGATAGACGGCGCCTGCGCACAGACCACAGACTTGTCTCGTGGGTTTCGCATGGAGTTAGCTGTTTGATGAATTTCTTCTCCTGCCGTGATGTCTGGGCACTCTTCTGCAACTCAAGACTCTTTCCTCGGGAACTACTGTCCGGCATTTTCTAACGTCATGTGCCTTTATGGCCTTGCTTGTCATCAAGCCGGACACGTTGCGCCTTGCGCGATATTCCGGCTATATCGGTACGGATGTAGATGTGGCAAGGAGTGGTAGAAGTTCCTAATGTCATCCTGCGACACATTCTGCCAGGCATTCATCAGTTGTCGCCCCATATCTGAGATATTTTGTGGTGCCCGAATTTGGCGGCCTACCATTCCCAGACATGCTCGATTGGTGAAAGGTCTGGTGACCTTGCTGGCCAAGGAAGAGTATCAACCGCACGGAGACAGTTCAGAGATATGCGAGCGGTTTGTGGCCTGGCATTATCTTGTTGGAAAATGGCCCCAGGATGACGTGCCATGAAGGGTAATGCCACCGGCCGCAGGATGGTATCAACATATCGTTGAGCTGTTGAAGATGTACGGAGAGTGACTAAAGATGACCTGCTACTATAAGAAATGGCGCCCCACAGGTTTGCCTTCGAATTACAGTTTGAGCCCGTATAATGAAGCACCTTAAATGTAATGTGCAGTTCTTTATAGTGACTGTCGAGTGGATCAGAAAACGCTGCCTGTGACCACTTACTGATGCCTGTCAAATTGAACTTCTGCCTTTGTAATGCAAGTAAAAACTTTCACATTGCTACTGTTGTCAGCAGCGTACAGTAGCTTTTGTACTGTACTACGTATCATACTACATACTACTGTGCATATCATACATGCACAGCAATACAACATGCGATCTACGTAGACTCAATCTTGTCTACCCGAAAAACAGGTAGAGTGGACGCAATTTCTACTTCGTTCCTCTCATAGGAATGGAAAAATTTGTTACCTTCTTCTGCCGACGTTATGGAGATAAGAACAGTTTGATAAAATTTGGGTTAGCTCTAACAAAACTGCAATCAGCGAATTTTTATCTTTTTCATATTTTCGCTAATTATGACGCTCAAATGCTTCCTACTTTTTACCGTTATTTTGTCATGTATCTGACACTGGTAGATATCAGATACTATCAAAAAGGAAAGATGATTTGGGCTATTCTTAACTCATAAATACTTTTCTCAAGGAAGGAATTTATGCCTAAAAAAATTAAAGGTGAAGACTGCTTAGACAAATTATTTAGGCTGAAAAAGTACATATTCGTAAATATTTATACTCCCTATATTTGGCAGTCTTAAGAAGCGCAATACGCTGAAGTTTAATTTTTAAGATTGCTATTTCTGATTAAATGAATACATCACGTAAAAGGTGCAGTTGTCATATCAAATAGCATAACAAATTATGGTAATTTTTACTTTGCTTCTTCAAAGCCGTCCAGCCGTATAGTGTTTTAGTGACCCTGATTGTCGTAGCTATGGCCCGGGTTCGAATCCCGGAGAAGGCAGGGCTGTAACTGTCCGTCCCTTCATAGGACGCAACGGTGGCCACCTATTAGGTGCTTCCATAATGAAATGGCTACCACTTCTGGCCCTGTGTTGGCGCAAAGCTAATGGCTACTAAATAAAGACTCCGGCCATTAAAGAAAGAAAGAAAAACATTGTTTTCTCAAATTTTCTTTTAAGCCTTTCATTTATTTGTGTTTAATCGATAGAACTGCCTAATTGTGAAATAAATCTATTAAATATGATAAACCGCCGAATGTGATATAAACCTTTCTAATTTCAGGTGTATTTAACTCTGATGGTTCAGTTATTGTTTACTATGGGTGTTATATCCCTATTTGTTTTCGAGTAAGTACTTGAAATTTCTTTAAAATGCAATCTATTGCTTACTCATTTCACGGGAATGCAGTTAGTGACTTTATGATTAATATGGATTTCTAGCAGCATTTTGGTGTTATCTAGAATCATGAAATATGCACCTAAACAATGTGGATTTTCTTTCACTAAAAAGCAATTTAATTCATTGCTGTACTTATTTAAAACGTACTTAGAAATCGATGAGATATATCATTTGAAGTTTGCTTAAAACTGCTTTTTTCTCTTCTCGAGGACTGCTAAGAAAGAAATTGGATAAATCCAAATTTATTTTTAAAAATCTTCTCGAATTAAACCTGTTTTTCATTTGTTTTAAAACAGTGTCCTGCTTTTATTCAAAAATCCCGACTAATTTACTGTGTTCGGAAGATTGCAGTGATTCTTGAAATAGTAATCAAAGTATTGCTAGAGAATCGGATTGAATGTCTTAAATGCGATCAAAAGAACGATCTTTAAATCTTAGTTTCAGCCTTAATAATGCGAAAAGTCATTGGATGACAAATTTGGTAAATAGAATGATGAGGCACCGTAGACAGCATTGTGTCCCAAACTTTTGCTTCTATTTGCAGCTTAACTTTTGGTATTGACATAAAGCAACTAATTTTTATCATCCACAACTGAAATATGTTTTCCGGCTAGTTTAGCATAAAATTTATAATGAAATGTTTCGTTTATCGGAGTTCTTTCATGTTAGAAAATTATCATCAAATCATTTGCGGTGCACTCTTACATTTTTAACCTTTGCTTTTTCTTTCTTGTTTTCCCATCCTTTTGCTTTTTTCTTCTTTTTTTCCAACACCCCTATGCCCTAAGGGTAGTCAAATTTTCAGATTCTTCGGCGTAAAGTTTATGGCATCGTCTCAAAGTCGGACGTCTGAATTAAACTTCCCTCTTATCTGAAACGACTTCATGCAGGAAGCTTTTGTCAGTGAAGGCTTTAATCAATGTGGGCTGATGTCAGTGCGAGCTTTTGTCATTGTGATTTATATTAATGTGGAATTTTTTTACCACTTTTTTTTTTTTTTTTTTAATCTATGTAGATCATGTTTTCATTTGTATGGGTATCTGTCACGTAGGCAATCATCACAATTTTCTTTTTCCGTGGACGTAGTCGCAAGAGCTTTTTGTCCAGCGCCCTCTTATCTGGTTACTAGATCATTCATGCTGCATCACAGACAGATTTAGACAGAGCGTCAGTTGTCAAACCAAGTATCACTACAAGTATGATGCAAGCGCTGGGATCAGTGTAAAAAATTCTAAAGAATAACTTCCTTGAAAGGAATAGGGATCAAGAAGTAATTCAAGTGTTTTCCAAAATTTGGTTGTGCAGCTCATTTGCATCAATATGTATGTTAGTTTAAATTTATACTATACCAAAGAAAATAAATTTTTATAACTTTATTTTAAAATTTATTATCATTTTAATGCCTTTGCATTGTAACCTTATAATAATGAAAGGATGAGGAAATTCTGCATTCGACTTATGTTAGAAAATAACATATAAGTGTGCGAACTTGAATGAATTTATATCAAAGTAATTTATTATGATGATAATTTGTTTCGTATTTACAAGTTTCTTTCCTTTGTAGGCCTCATGTAAAAGAATTCGTAAGAAGCAATATAGTTATATACTACGTATCATTGTAAGCATCTGAGTCTGACTAGTAACTCCAAAAACATTTCGTTTTGTATACTATTTTCTAAATTCACTTTTGCATTAGCTGAAAAATAAAATTTTCTTTTCAGTGCCACCTTTCTAGGAGTTTATATTGGATTGGTGTGTTGTGGCGATATCAGGTAATGTCTTGTTTCATTTGGACTTTTATGACTTTTTATGTTGTTGTGCTAAGTTATCAATTAACGTGTGTCCATTAATGTAATGCTCATGTGTTTAAAAGTACGGTGCTTGTACGGTAGCTCTGTTTTGAAACAAAAATTTATTACCTAGTCAGCTTTGCACCATAGTATACATTGGAATACGTATCCTTGCTCCATCTGTCCTTACATTCTTGGACTCATTAGTAAAATACTTCTTTTAGCATCTGTCATAGACTGGCCGTACGCATTATTTTGATTACTTGAATTGTCTGAAAAGGTTGATTCCATAAAACCATCATGACAAAAGAGAACAATGGGATGAGAAATCGGGAAAATAATGTGAGTGAAACATAATATGGATATCTTTATGTTTAAAGAAACTGATATTTCTTTCATAAAATGCCCCATCGCGCCGAATGGCCGAAAAATGCTCTAATTCCATTTGCACCGCAATACCATAGAGGTAAAAATTAGCTGTAAACAGATATTTTCAATACAAAGCGTAAATAGCTAAGGAATTCTAATGCAAAAGAAAGCAGGAATAATGTGAACAGAAAAGAAAATAAAAATTACTTTATGTATAAAAACGGTGTAACTATGAAAATTTAATTTTTATTTTTGATGCTCCCGTTCTTTCTGAACATTCAATAGCAAAACAATAAATCATTTTTTCACTTTAAATTAAAAAGCATAGAAAATATTAACAAGAGTATCATCGACTCTATAGCATCCCAATGCAATAAATAAGGTAACAAGTTGCAATAAAAAAAGGGGGATGGACTGAAAGCAGACTCGCTTCCGCCCTCAGATTTGGGCACGATTTTCTTTCTGGGTGGCTTCCATAAAACCGACAGCCAAAATCCCGACACTCAAAATCTCGACAGCCAAAACCCTGACAGATAAATATTTCAAAGATTTAAATAAAGACTAAATGCATTCTAGAAATATCATTAAAAATGTTAAGAGTATAACGCCCAAGAAAGGATTTGGGGAACAGACAGGATTGTATTTTAAAAAAGGTTGAGAGACACCTTTTTTGCGTACCCATCTTTTGCATCAGGTGTTTGTGTAAAAAAGAATTACTTGAACATGCGCAGCAAATGTTCGAAGCTAATGATCTTCCACACCGTTTTAAGGTAACTCTAATTTGAAGTTGTGCACTATCCATATATCTGTGATCCATGGTTCACCCTTAACAATCATGGATGAAGTTTGTGCAATTGTGTTATTCCGAAAATTTGTAGAAAGATTAATGTTCGTGGTTATTTAATGGTGAAAGGAAGAAATCGGAAAAATAAGTATTAGGTGTTGTGAATCACGGAAATAGGAAAATTGTAGAGGACGTTTAATAATGAAAGTTTGTGATGGAAGACATTACCTTCAGAAGTTTGTAAATGCCAATCACTTTCCGCAGGCTAGGGCTATTTTCATAGTATAAACTGCAAACCAAATAAAGGAAAATGCAAAGCAAAATAATGTTGCACAGTCACAAACTATTCAAACAAAAAGCGCCCATTTTTAATCCAGAAATATAACCTTCGGAAAATGCTTTCCGAAAGAAAATCAGTTACACTAGAAAAAGAATATGACCTCCAGAACTTCAGTCGCTTGAAGATGTGGAAATTTCTAATAATGTACGTAAAACGTTGCGGAAAGAATTTTCTTATTAAATACTCTAGCGTGTGCGACGAACGAATTCTGTTATTTACAACAAAATCAAACAGGCAGCGTTCGTCATCGGCCCTTTTCCTGGATCATGGATAGTTATATTTAAAACAGGGCCGAATACCATTCACTCACCTGTTGAAAATGAAAATTTACGAGTTCTTCCACCTGTTCTTTGCATTAATGTTTAGCGAACGTGACGAAATCTGTAAACGCATATTTGAATATTGAACAGATTATGCGGGTGAAAATGGCATTGAATTGAGGCCGCGTACCATTTTAGTGGATCTGGAATCAGAAACAATAAATGCAACGAAAAATGAATTTCCTGCCACAAGTAATAAGGTTTATTTTTTCCATTTCGGGCAATGTGCGCGAAGAAAAATTCAAACAACTGGATTGACATTTCGATATAGTGCCCGATGAGGAATTTAGTTTATCTCATCGTTATTTAAGTGCTTTAGCATTCATTCCGCCTGATGGGATTCTAGATGCTCTGATTTTTGAAGATGAAGATTTCGATGCTCTGAAACAATATTTACGCAGGGAAGCTTGTGACGTAATAACGTGGTTTGAAGATAATTACGTACGTGGAAGAGCAAGGTGATATATGCGTAATGGTACGGTACTACGGGGATCTCCACCATTATTTCCACCAACACTGCAGTCTGTATATGATTCAATTTATTCGGGAATTTCTCGTACGTAAAACATCATAGAATCTTGGCATAGGAGATGGGATACCAAACACAGAATACCAATAGTTGATCGACAAGAAAGAATAATGATCATTGTTAACGATCGCCCAAGCAGAACTATCATGGATTAGCTCCGTGGCATTGCACAGTGTTTTTTTCTAAATATTTAAAAACTATGGCATTATTTTGATATTTCAATCATTTATTCATTAGGATAATTATGCTAAATAAACATACTGTATCCTTTTAGAAATAAAGTATTTGTTTAGCTTTAGAATTCAACTCATTTTTGTAAATATTAAAAAGTTTAACAAAACATTAAAGTAACGTCTGGATTTTCACCTGCCAGAATTTTGGACCATCGGTCTTATGGTTGTCGGAGTTTTGGAATGAACCCATTCGATGATATATTTCTACCTCCATGCGTTATCAGAATATTTAAGCCCATACCCATATCACATTTTACTGTTCCCCATAATGTGACTCCATATCTTCTAGAGGCTTTAAACCTGAGTCTTTTAGTGTTAAATTTGGCTTTATTCTTTATTGAAATAAAGCCAAATTCAGTATTCCAAATTTTATGCACATTTCCATCAGCATTTTAAACAGATTATAATATGTATATAGCACATTACATGATTAAAATTTTAAGAGTAGTTTCACCTGATCGACGTGTTATTGCTCAAAATTTAAGCATAAAGATGAACAAAGCTTAAATTAGGCAAAAAAGCAGCCTTAGATTGGCATTGATTTTCAATAAAACCCTATTAGATTCGAGGGCTTTCGGACGTAGTTCCCTCTCCTTATAGATAAAATATTTTTACTTAGACATAGGTATCTTTTGACGAAGTGGGGCGTACGTCTGAACACCTTTCTAAACCGATGGAGTTTTATTCAAAATCTACGCTAGACGAAGGCCATTTTTTGTCTAATTTTAAATCTTAATTTGGTACTTTTTTTATAACTGATGTAACTTACAAGATATTTAATTAATGTGGTTTGTAATAGATGTGATTAGTAATTTTTATAAGATTTTACTCATTAATGTGATGCATAAAAGTTTTCTAGAGCTATGTTTATTTCTGGGTTCAAAATAGCCGTTTGTGTACTGCATAGCAACATGTTAAACCTTGTTTAAATTTGTTAAGCGAATTAAATGCTTTTTGTCTATTATTAAAAAAATTACGACATTTTTTTCGGTATCTTTTATTTAATTTTTGTTAAAAAAAGTTTAACTAAATTAAATTTTCCCACTTCTTATCCAAAAATACAGTGAACGTTTTTTATTCCCAGGAGGAAGTATCCTACTAATATCATCTTGTTAGCTATATTGGTAAGTGCCTTCTGATTTCTTGTTCACCGGTCTAAAAATACATCTGATTTCTGGGGGGGGGGGAGAAAAAAAATGTTAGAGTCACTTATATTAACTGAAGTTATTTAAGAATTAAAAATTTAAGTTATTTTACAGATTCAAAATATTACTTATTATGAATTGATTTATGTTTTAACTTTCTTAGTTTAACTGCATCTGAATTATTTAAAACAAAGATTTGAATTTCATGTTACGCTTCTTATTTTATTCCGTAGTTTCGAAATGTAAATGTGTGGCAGTTTCACGACTAGTTTGAAGATATACATCAAAAAAAAAAAAAAAAATGTGAAAACTGACCTTTGAAGTATGACAATCCTCTTATCCTGCTTACTTCACGAAAACTGATTTATGGAACCAAAATGTCTTTGCTGGTATCTTGTATTAAATTGCAATATAAGTATTTTTACGTGTGTTGTATGCTTCATTATGTGAGAAACAGGAGAAGCAAGTATAAATTAATTTAATATCAAAAATATAATTACACCGAATTATATAAACTACACTAATGTTTGTGAAAAGTGCAACGCCGTGAAGGAGATATGCAAATTGAACCAAACTTGCAGAAAATGTAAAGTGAGGTAAGGCATGCAAATCATTAATCATTAGAGTTACAAAGCGATCGCATAAGCTTGGAATGAGAATATCCCGCTTGTTCCATGTCCTCGTATATAAAGGACTGGAGCGTTGCGTTTAAATCAGATCCTGTGAAGTATGACCTTATGCCTCCCCGCCGTGGGCGACCGCTACAAGAAATGACATTTATAAACTTCAAACAGTACAATCAAAGTTATTGAGAGTCATGATTAACGGTCACTACTATGTGAGAAACGAGCTTCTGCGCAGTGACTTGAAAGTTGAGCCCCTGGAAATTTTCCTGAAAAAAGCAAATGAAAGCTTTTTTTAAAATGCCAAGGAATGCACGACAATGAAGTATTTTGGCACCTTCCACTATGAAATTCTGGAAGAAGACCAATACTTGCGCGCACTTTACGCGCGTGTCTATGACGGATCGTACAACGTTCTCTGGTGTGTTAGCACGACGTTGGAGCACGGCTACAGGTGTTGTGCTGTCTATTTCGACGGTTCGTCGCCGTCTGCTGCAGCATGAACTGCTGTACTTCAGCAGGATAATGCCCGTGCACAGGTTACTCAGACTTAGACTTCCTTAGGCACAACAGCTCCTTGCATGGTCTTCTTATTCCTCGGATATGTCCCCCATTGAACATGCATGGAATTTCATCTGTTGGCGACTCGCTCGTTCAGCTGGTGGGGTACACAATAAGACCGAACTTCGGCATCAAGTCGAAGCCATATGAAATGCCATTTCCTAGGATTACATTCATAAGCCGTATCATTCAATGACATGAAGAAAGGCTCTTAAATACACTATTGCTTACGCTAAAGAATACGCTGTTGATATTTGCAGTGCACAAATTACGATATTTGTAATAACGTAAATCCAAATTTTATTTGGTAATAAAAAAACTCGATTTTTAATTTTTACAAATTTAAAATACAAGATAATTTGTATGAAAAAAAGCTTTAAAATTATCTATTTTTCATAATAGTATGAGATAAAGATAATTTTGAAATAATTTTTCGCCTCTTTTTTTTCTATAAATGTGAAAGTTTACATTGTATGCAATTGAAATCTGTAGACAAACTTGTGATAGAAATGCACTATTTATGCTCTTAGAAGCGATTGTCTTGTAATATTATTATGATACTCCTATTCTATCTTTTTTAATAAGGTTTAATTAGGCTTTTTTTTTTTTTTTTTGTTGTTGTTGTTGTTGTTTGGGTCAAATTTCAAAGTAAGTTTTTTACCCACTTCTACCAAACCAGTTTTCTTGAAATTTCTGCGCAGTTTTCAGCATTTTTGATGACAATGCACTATTTCCTACTAATTATATCAAAATTCGGTGCAGAATTTACGTAATGATAAGATGTTTTTAAAGCATTTTCCGCATATTTCTTTGCTAACTATAAAATGAATCCTCGAGGATTTCAGGCTTTGGCCACTATCACTTATCGGGGAAAAAATCTTCCCAATAAAATTTAACTAGTATTCTTAATGCTATTTATTTGGTCAATTTTTCCAAAATCGATCGATAGCTGCTAATAGCGACGGATTTAAATCAAAGTTAACAAAGAAAAATTTAAAGAAATTAAATGTAGTTTTGCATTATCGGATAATCGGATAGATGGAAAACATTCTTCAAGGAAAGATGATGTCATATATTTCGTTATTGTGCTAAAAGAATAATTTTTTTAGTATTCAGAAAGTTTAGATAGTGTTACAGCAACAGAAATGATAGAAACATCAACAAAAATGATAGGGTAGAAGTAGCATATTTAAAAATAATATTTAAATCAAACACCTTTTTGCTAGTTTTTTTTTTTTTTTTTTTTTTTTTTTTTTTTTTTTTTTTTTTGTTTTTTTTTGTTTTTTTTTTTTTTTTTTTTTTTTTTTTTTTTTTTTTTTTTTTTATTTTTTTTTTTTTTTTTTTTTTTTGTTTTTTTTTTTTTTTTTCTTTTTTTTTTTTTTGCTTTAAAAATATAAATAAAATATATGTAAAAACGGCTGGTACCTCTCTGTTTTGGGGCACTAGTCGCCAAATATGCGTGTAGTAACCTATTTATATCGTGCCATGAACAGCTCTGCAATGTTTAATGGATGTAATGCCAAGACTGGGCCCGATACCGAATTTGTGCAATTTTGTAATTTTTTAAAGAAAACAGATCGCTGTGTACTTGGGGAGAACCGAATTGGTGCAATACGCTGATTTTTTTAGCAGCCTCTCTTCTCATGTACACAGCAAACTGTTTTGCACAAATGCGACATCACCTACAGCTTCAGCATTACGCACATTGAACATTATATTATGTTATATATTACCATTATTACATGTTAATTTTTTTCATGAAGTTTTCTGTATCGTTAAGGTTACCGCCATCTAAGATTTCTCGCCAACGTTTTCTTTTAAAGCTAAATGGCATGCCACTAATAGAAAAATTCTGAAATTTTGTGAGTTACACGGTGCGCTAAAACTAGAGCTTATTTTTATAAAATACATTCTTAGAAATATGCTATTAAAATCAAAAGCGTGGAGCACCCGTAAAAGTATTATGTCAGGATATTAACAGAATTTTAAGCGGAAAAGTAATATTTAAAAAGAGAATTGCTTTAGTTCATTTATTTTCTCTTTGACAACTTTGTCTTAAAAATCTGCTACTGTTAGCAGTCTCATAGTTCTGTTTAACCAGAGACTGCTAACAGTTGTAAAGATGTATGACCCGTGAACTAAAATCTTATAAAGCATTTATGCAGGTTTTATTTAAATTTTCATTACATGTGTTATTTACTTGAAGCTTTCGGTTTCCATGCTTTTTAATACAATTATGTTAATAAAAGAACTATGTATCGACTACAGTTTCTTGTTGATGTTCCGTATATATAATAATAATAGTAATATTAATAATAAAAGTAAATACAAGTGTTGCTATAAATTCTCTTAGCTCTCTGAGTCATGATATTTTAATAACACTGAGTTCGGTAATATTTATTTTGTTAACATTAAATAAAAACTATTTAGATGCATCAGTACTTGTAAATCAATATCATTCATTATCTTTAGTTAATTGAATTAGAGTATTTTAATTAAGAAATTTTTCCTTATTTATATTTAGACTGCTGCAATGAGCTACATGTTGGGAACTATATCAAGGCAAGTTTTTTGTGAAGTATTTTCTCATTTCTATTTCTCTGCCTCTGTCTGTAAATTTTAAAAGTTAGCGATTATATAGATATATTTTGCATTACTTTTTGCAGTTTTCATAAAACGGAGATTGTTTTCATGGCTGTTGGTATATGCGCAGCTGTTTGTTTGCTAGTATCCATTTTTTCTTACAGTACGAAAGTAAGTTTATTTATGTGTAGTATATTTTTTTAAAGAAAACTGAATGTTGAAAAATAAATCATATGCCATAGATGGGAAATCAGTTTTGATTTTTGAGTACAATATGATGATATTCATTTAAATAGGAATTTCTAATAATGAATATATAAAAATTCGTATTTTAACCGAAATGAGACGAATGTACATTTTTTTTCCACATATGATTTTACTTTCTTAGATTATATGTAGAGTAATTAAAAAAACTGCAATATTTGTGGACGGTTAATATGTATCATGAGAATGAGTCAGATTGCATAAAATAAAGTAATTGCAGACAAAATGAATCATTGATAAAATGACATGAGTTAAAATTGCTTGCCATTTCGGAATGAGCACTCCCTAGACAATTATCAATAAATTTAAAAACTTTAAAGTTTTTCGAACTGCTTTTCTTTTTTTTGCAAATAGAACAGTAGAATATGCTGTATTATATTTTATGTCTTGTTATTATTATTTTTTTTTAATTTTATTGCACTTACTGAAAAATATGATATTACAAATCATTTTATTTTGTTTTTATATTTGTTATTACAGTTGCTTCAAAATATTTCATAAATTCACTGAGATTTAAAGCAATATAAAGTTTCGCGGCTAGCTTTGCTAAAGCATTTTCAAAATGTTCAATATCCATGAACATATGCAAGAAGAAAGTTGATGTTAAGATCTTACTAATTTTTTGTAATAACTGTAGCGAGAAAAGAGAATCATTACATATTAAAATGCGCATTCATCTCAAACCAGTATGAGAATTCTGAATCCATTTCACCGCAAAGTTTTAAGCATAGGAACTCAGTTCGAGAAACAGAGTACCCATATCTGTTTCTGTACTGTTTGAATATTGCTTCTTGTTTGTATTCATAAATTGAATTCAATTTTGAATTGTTTATCTTCACAAGCATCATATCTTGTTCATCAAATACATTTAAATATAACTAAAATAAACAACAATTATACAAAAGCAAAGGCAAATTTATATCATTTATCTTTCATTCGTCAGTAAAATAAATTAATTGGTACTCTTCAAAAATAGCATCAGGATAGAGAACAATGAGTACTGGCACTCTGTTAATAGAATACAGCAGAAACGACATCGGTGGGGGAATTTGCCAAATAATTTAAATTTTAGTTATCACAATATTCACTAATCGAATAAGTCATCCGATTTTCTACATTACAGTGAAATGACTATATACGTATATATTTAAATCCAAACAAGTTGTTTGAGCTTTCTGTTACATAAGTTTTTTTTCTTTTAATCTTTAGTTTGATTTTACATCCTGTGGTGGCATCCTCTGCATTTTGTTGCTCGTATTGATCATCTTCGGTATCATCACTATTTTCATTCCTACCAGGGTAATCATGCTATTTTAATTCTTAGTATTCGTGAATAAATAGTCGTTAATATAACACATGGAATTCATAAGTTTTATATCCGTGTATTAAAATAGATGCATTTAGATTTCGTTTTTGTTATAAGTATTTTGATATTTTTGACTTTCAAATAAAAAATAAAAAACTAAAAATTCTAAAATTTGTTCTTTCCTCAAAAAACAGAAAGTTTCATCGTTCTGTTACATAACGGCATGTTTCGGCCACCAGAGCTCTCTGCCTGTCTGTGAGATATTATTTCGCAATGCGTAGATTGTATGCGCAGCTCGCATTTTGTTGTTGCATTCTTAAAACCGCTTATTGTAACTCTGTCGTTTTACTTTGTGCTGTGCTGTGTTCGAAAGTTCAAACTGCCAAATAAAGGTTAATTTTACAGTCCACTCGCAGTGATGTATTCTTAGGTTTATTAATTTAAAACTAAGATACCGCTTCGCTACATTATTTGGTCGTCCTACGCCGGAGCTTCGAGAAAAACCCGCGCTTGTGAATAAGAATTCTACGTGTTCGTAATGGTTTTACTTTCGGTTTAGAATTCTCAAGAGTTTCGCAATGGATACAGTGTACGAGGTGAGTGAAATAGTTAACGCATTTTAATTGCATTTGACATTTCGTTGTTGCTACTATTTTTGTGTTTTAAAGTATTAGTAAAATTGAGAATTTAGAATATATTCAAAATGTCAGATATAGAAAAAAAGCGAAAGAGAATTTTGAAAACACAGTTAACGAAATTCATCGAGAGAATAGATTATGATAACTTAGATAATGCTGAAGCTGAATTAATCTTAGAAAAATGTAAAATCTTTAAGGAAGATTTTAAATCTCTATTTAGAGAAATTTATACAAATTGTGATGATGCGTTGAGGAAGAACAGTCGATTTTAGACAAAATTGAGGAGGTTCACTTAAAAATTTTTCGTAAGTTAAAGATTTACAAGGTCGTAAATGCAAATGGCGATATACCTGTCGTACCTGAATCAGTCTCTGAAAGTTTAAAGTTACCGAAATTATCTTTACCCACATTTAGCGGAAATTTAACTGAATGGATAACATTTAAAGATTTATTTAACGCTAGTGTTCGCAACAATCCAAATCTTTCTGGAGCTCAAAAATTACAATATTTAAAGAGTTCTTTGAAAAATGATGCTTATCGCATTATTAAGTCAATTCCCATAGCTAATCAAAATTTCAGTATTGCTTGGAATTTACTAGAAGAGAGATTTTCTAATAAGAGAGAACAGATATTTGCTTTTATTAAAAGAATTCTTAACGTTTCACAAATGCAAACGGAATCTGCATCCTCGATATTAAGTTCAGTAGATAACGTAAACGAAATAACTCGCTCGTTCATTCGGAAATATTAGATCAAAGGATAGTAATTTTAGTGATACTTGTTGTTGTATATTATTTTGCAAAAACTTGACGTTTCGACAAAGTTGTGGTGGGAGCGTCAATTAAAAAAAAAAAAAAAAAAAAAAAAAAAAAAAAACCGAAAATACCAAAGTTGAGTGACTTGATAGAATTTTTGAAGAATTGTGCTCAGAACGTTACAGAACAGTTAAACATTAATAAAACGCATAAATCAGATAAACCAATGTATAACAGAGTTACTTCTCTGATTTACTAATTCTACTTGCTTATTTTGTAAAGAAGATAATCATTTTTTATACAAGGTGTTCTAATTTTTTAAATTTGCCAGTGCAAAAAATGAATAGAGTTTGTTAAGACTAATAAACTTAGTTTTAATTGCTTGTCTAATGTCCATAAAGTTAAAATGTGTAAGAGTGCAAATACCTGCAAGCATTGTTTTAAGCATCATCATAGCATTTTACATTTAGAAAATATTTTCAAACCAAAAAATGGATCTAAATTCCCTTCACCGGAAGAACAAGTGTTTGTTCCGAAATCGCAAATTAAACCAGAAAACAGCCTGAGTGAGGTTTCTCCAACTGTTTGTGCAAACAACTATGAAAATCAACATTTTGGAGCTCATGCTAATGGTAAACGTAGTCATGTACTTTTGTGTACTGCTTTAATTAAGGTTCAAAACTCAAAAAATGAATTCATAAATTGTAGATGTTTACTAGATTCAGGTAGTGAAAAATCGTTCATTCGTCGGAAAACAGCTATCAATTTAGGATTGAGCATACAGGATTCGAAGATATTAGTGTCATGCTTAGGTACTTTCAATACAACTACTACTGGAGAATTTGAGTTGTTGTTTACACCTCATTTTAATACTAATTACAGAATTTCAACGTCCGCTTACATAATAGACAAAATTACAGGGAACATTCCAAGTGTAACATTCATTACCTTTGAATTTATAGGAAAGTTTCGAAGATTTAACTTTAGCAGATCCTACATTTCATGAATCGGGAGAAATTGATATTTTACTTGGAGTTAATGTATTCCTTACTTTAATCAATGGCGAGGTAATTAAAATGGGCAAAAATCTTCCATTTGCATGTTGTTCTAAGTTAGGATGGGTAATTGCTGCTGGAACTACAACATTTTGAATTCCCAAACCGTAAGCAGGTTTCAGTCAATACGCTAAACGTAAACACGGAGGAGTGTAGTTAAATCATTTTGGGATTTGGAACAAATTCCCCACATCGAAACCTTTAACTAAAGAGGAAAGATTGTGTGAAAATCATTTCGTGGAAAATCACGTCCGTAGTGAAGATGGTCGTTACTCAGTAAAACTGCCATTCAAGCCTAAAAGAAATGAGTTGGGTAATTCCAGACCATCAGCCTTTCGCAACTTTCTTAGTCTAGAACAAAAACTAATAAAAACTCCTGAAGTATAAGCAACATAAAGACTTCATGTCCGAATATTTATCACTTGGACACATGGAAGAATTATCCGATGATAATTTAGATAAAGTAAATTTTCATTATTATATACCTCATCATCACGTGCTAAAAGAATCCAGTCTTACCACAAAACTACGCGTCGTTTTCAATGCTAGTGCTAAAACTACATCAGGGATATCTCTTAATGACACGCTAATGAATGGTCCCAAGGTGCAAGACGACTTATTTACTATTCTTTTGAGGTTTAGATGCTATCCCATAGCCATTACTAGCGACTTATTGAAAATGTATCGACAAGTTCAAATTCATGATGAAGATCGCGATTTCCAAAAAATATTTTTGGAGAGATGATCCATCGAAGCCGATTAAAACTTACAGGTTGTGCACAGTTACGTACGGCACTACTTCCGCTTCATACCTGGCTACTCGCGTACCCAAACAACTAACAATTGACGAAGGAACTAAATTCCCAAAGGCAGCTGAAATAATATTACACAATTGTTATATTGATGATGTCCTATTTGGTTCAGACACAGTAGAGGACGCAGTAAAGTTAATTTCACAACTGAGTGAACTTTTACAAAAAGGTGGCTTTCAATTGCATAAATAGTGTACAAATGATCGCTCGATTTTGGAAACTGCTTTGAGTGCTCGGAACTCAAATTCTTCATGTACAGTAGTTGATACTAAATCAATAAAATTATTGGTTTTGGAGTGGTATCCAACGCAAGAAGAGTTTACTTGTCACTTAGGAAATCTCGAAAACAGAGAGTGTTCTACTAAAAGATAATTTTATCTTCTATTTCGAAAAATCTTTGATTCACTTGGTTGGTTAGCACCTTTTATAGTTGCAGCAAAAAATCTTGCTTCAAGATATATGGAAATTACAAAATCTCGTGGGATGATCCCATGCCAGATGAAATCAATCAAAGATGGAAAATCTTTTGTGAAGATTCTCGCAATTCTTTGAATGCATTCATATTCCTAGGAGAGTATTGCCCAAATCTACAAATGTAGAACTTCATTGTTTCTGTGACGCATCAAGAAAGCTTACGCCGCAGTGATTTATTTTAAAGTCTTCAAATCTTCTTCAGTTTCGGTTGCAGCTACTAACATCAAAAACTCGCGTAGCTTCCCTGAAAGTAATTTCTATTCCTTCCCGTTTAGAACTCTGCTCTGCAGTTCTATTAGTGCATTTGGTTCAAGCTGTGCAAAATTCATTACAAATTTATGTTGACGATATTTACGCATGGAGTGATTCATGATAGTTTTGTCCTGGATACAATCAGAACCAACACGCTGGGAACCTTCGTAGCCAACCGCGTTTTCAGAAATTCAATCAGTCTTACCTTCCATCGCATTGGAATCACATAAAAGGAAAAGGAGAATCCAGCTAATTGCCATCAAAGGTCTTTTGCCTTCAGAGCTTTCTACTCATGACTTGTGGTGGACAGGTCCTCATGGCTTATTCAAATAATATTCCGTTCTCTATCAACTTACTTACCATTTTCAGAAGAGTCTTTTAAGGAACAACGGAAAAAATATTTCTTGTTCAATTGGAACAGTCGCTTCGCAAATTCCAGTCCTTAATGAAGTTTCATCATTCTTGAAAACTTAAAAGAATCATCGCATGGTGTTTTTCGGTTTGCGAATAATTCAGCTAAATCTACCGCAACAAGGATTAAGGGTTACCTCAAAACCCGAAGAATTGCAATACGCTAGAAATGCAATTGTTAGAGTAGTTCAAATGATGGATTTTTTAATGAATATAATCTTCTAAAAAAGAATCAACCGTTAAACTCAAATAGTAAGATCCTTTCTTTGAACCCCTTTATCGATAAGAATGGACTTATACGCGTTGGAGGAAGATTAAGACGATCCAACATCGCGCAGGACAGAAAATATCAGACTATTTTGTTGCCCAAGAAACATCACATAACACAGATATAGTGCATCATTTCCCCCTGCTATTGCTATCAGTAATTAGAAGAGAATATTGGATAATCCACGCTAGGTCAGTTGTAAGACAACAGATTTGGAAATGTGTGAAATGTCATCGTGTACGAGCTAAAACATCTACCCAGATAATGTCTGATTTACCATCGTCTAGAGTCGTTCCGTTCCGTCAAAGGTTTTCTCCAAAGTTGGAAT